GGTATGCCACTGTAATAAAAAAAACACCAAAAATAACTGAATTGAGACAGAACAGCACAACACACCAATACCAGCACCAGCCATTACATTTACCGCAGCAGGTCAGCACAATGAGTCCGTGGCTGCTGCTCTTCATTGGAATTTAGACTAAAATCAATGCTATTAAATAGTAATTGAGGAAGGGTCGGTATATATATTCACAGATATCGAAGAACTAATCATTAGATTCTTGTACGTTTGAGTGATATAGTCTGTTCTCAAGTAGTGTCAGGAGCCACTAGATCCTCCTTCACACTATTTAGGAATTGAAGTTCATTGGGTTCTCGATAAGAAAAGGAAAAAGGGAATAGAGCACAGGGGGGTTTTCAGTGAGTATTTGGCAGTGGATTGAATGGAGTTTGGCTGATAATACAGATGGTACCTTTAATTTTTCATGAACCAACTGATTACTGAAGGCATTTGTTATTTTAAAGTGTTAACCAAAATAAGAATCTCAAGGATTTAGAAGAAAACATTATGTATGTATACTTTCAGACCACCAGGTTTGTATATTTGAAAACTTGTCTCAAGTTTTAATGGATTTCAATGATCCTCACAACATGAACACACAACTATTAAGAGACAAAATAGCCTTCAAGTAAAGCAACAAATGAAAATAAGTAACCCTTTGAGTTGAGCTGTTTTCCATTCAGCCACATCCCTCTGGACTGAGCAAGAAAGAACGACATTAATTAATTAGAAAAGACAGATCATAGAATGAGAGGAAAAGACTGACAATCCACGGTAGGACAGAGTGGGTTGAAGAATAAGGTGACTTTGTGACAGCCCTGTGCTGGGGTGGCTCTTGGCCGGATGATCAGGGACAGGCTGACCTCCCACGCAGAATTAGTCATCTCTTTAAACAACTTTTTTTTTTTCCACTAAAGACTCTTATTCAACCTTCTAGCAACCTTCTTTCACATTGCTGTTTGGCCGCCCAGGCTTCTTCTCTCCCACACACACACACACACACACAGAGTCGGCAGCCTCTGGACATAATCATTTATTGTTCAAATTTCCACAGGGATGCAGATTAAGGGGTTGTTAAATATCTAGCTTCTAATTTCCACTATTATCAGCGTTTTGCTTAACCAAACTACATCAAAGAAACACTTGGAATAAGACTTAACAGGCTGTCAATGTTAGCAGGTCTCTCTCCAGTCTTATGATTTTTTCAATAATAGTGCTGCTGTCTTTTTTTTTTTTTTTTTTTTTTTTTTTACAGTTGTTTTGTTTACTCAGTCTCATCAGATGTGGCAGCAGGACACAATACTGTAGATCAGTGATACAAAGACTGGTCAAACTTACCTGCCCAAGCCCAGTTTACTCAAAAACACACTACTTTCAGGATTAGACATGCTGTACCATGCGACACAACTAAAATAGGTTTTCCATAAACCTGCACGGATCATTGGATCAGTGATCAATATCCATTTCATGCAGAAACAGATTTTACACTGACAACATGCAGCTGTCCTTCCCCAGCCCCTTCATCAAAAATTGTAATTGTACATGCACTTTCACATCAGACATCCATTATTATTGCCATTGCACACTCAAAGAAATCTTTCAAGGAGCATTCCACTGCAGCCAAGCATCAACTTTTTCTTTCCTTCAAATTCTTCTCTAGTTTCTAGTTTGTGAGACGTCATCTCACAGTTTCTCACCCACCAGAGTGTCTCGACAGATGCAAATACAGTCATGTTAAACCAAATCAGTCATCTTTTGTTGCCACGTCTGTTCATTTCTAATATAATCCAGGTTGAATGGCAGAAAGACGAAAGAGAGAAAAACAGAGATACACAGAGAGGGCAGATAATGAAATACAGACTTATATTCACTCAGTTTGGATCTTATATACATGTCCTCTACTGCCACTCCTTCCCTAGCTCAGCCCCAGTCACATGTGGCTGTGTGAAGACATAATCTGCCTCAAAGCGACACTGATGAGAAAAAAAAGGAAGAAAAAAAGAAAAGAAAAAAAAAACAAAATTTGCGAAACAAATCTCCTCTTCTGTTTGTTTTTATTGTAGTGCCATGAGTCACGAAATATATTTCAAAACATCTGTGTCTTTTTTAGGCATGTTTGATTTTCCTCTTGGACAGAAAAATCCAGTAACAATGAGAAACATACAGTATGAGAAACAAATGAAAGCTCATCTATGATAAAAGCTTGGGTTAATGCTTAACATGAGGGTGAATGTAAACATGCCTGACGTGCAGGAAGGTGTTGAACAGACAGGGTCAGTGACAATGAAAGAGAGGAAGGGACAGCGAGAGGCTGCTGTGACTCAGCCTTTCCCTGGTTAGAGAAATAAACAACTAAATGCATCATGGATGCTGACATGACTTTCCTGCTCGCAGGTAGCAGACAAAGCCAGGCTAAAACATTAACTCAGGCAAATGCTTCATATTTACTGAAAAATGTGTTATTTCAATCAACTCCTCTGGATATTTGATGATGTGTGGTTTTTGAGGGTGCATTAGCTGACAGCTTTTAGGTCATATCACCGCTTACAGATGTAGGCTACGCAAACAGGGGATGGGCACCAGCAACCAGCTGATCATGCAGTCAGGGTATATTGATATCATTGTCAGCAGTACGTGACCTGAGCACCTGTTGTGCTAAGGGCAAGCTGGAGGCTGTGGCCTCTGTAGAGTTATCATGCCAATAATACCACGTCAAAGATTCTCTGTGGCGAGCTGTGTCCTCAGGACAGGAAACTCGGCGCTGATGGCAGAGGAAGTGGGATGGCAAACACATTCAGAACGGGAAGGGTGCAGGGGAGAAGGGAAGAGATGGGGTGCCAAGGAGGATGAGGTAGAGTGCAGTCACATTCCTACAACATCTGGAAACAATTGCACACACTAGTTACAAAAGTACACTGGGTACTCGCACTCTGCCAAGCTCACTCACTCACATGCTGCCATACCCAACAAAGCCTTTCCACTGTGAACAGTGTGTGACTTGAATGCCTCACAGGATGCAAATAAGGTATGCAAAGAGCGCCACCCAGTGGTCACTCAGCTGTTGGCACAGCAGGTAATGAATCTGACAGAACAGGCCAGGCTGACTGGGGTTTCTATGACTCACACAGCCGTCTGTCTGCAACTGGCAGAGTTAAAACAGATCTGTGAATCAACGCCTCATTAAATTTCAGGTCTAACTCCCCTATTGGTTTGCTTCCATGTGCCAAATCAAGAAACCACAATATGCTTTGATATAGTTCCATCCAACTACTCAGAAATTCACTTTTATAGAGTTTAGGAGGTTTGGTGCTACTCCACCATTTTGTTCTTTCTATATTTTACACAGGCAGGGTTAGCTAAACTCATTTTATTCCACTTTAAATAATACAGTAGCTCTACCTTGTGTTCTACTGGTTCATTGTTATAATAAGAGCAAACACACATGCTTTTGGGGTAGCACAACACAACACCTCAACCAAAGAGTGAAAAACGAGTTATGCAGAGCCGCGTCACTGGAATATTTAATGCTGCAATAATTTAGTGAAACATGTTTACAGAATCAACTGAGGAGGCTATTCTTGAGGACAGGCCTGTAAAACAAGTATTCTAACTGTTTGAGGTATGGAAGTTCAAATTTCATGTTGTGCTGGTCAGTTAGTTTACTTTTTTGTATGTAATGTGAGATTTTTATATAAATCTATTCTGATGGGTGTAATGGTGATATTGTTAGAAATGGTAGAGATTATTTGCACAACTATATCATGTACTTTTTGTACTATCAGAGTAAACATTTGTTGACTATCGTAATTTTTTAAATATAGATCCATAGAGAGGTTTACGTTGCCAAGGTACCAATCAACAAATAAACAATGAGCAGTAAGGATGAGAGAACAGGAATTATAATTTGTTCAGATAATATTTACACGCAAAAACTGAATATATTCAATCTGATCTCCATTACTTTAAAATAATTATGATCTACAAAATTGAAATACCAATTTAATTTCACACATACTGACAAGAATGTATCATTAGTTTGATTATGAAAACATTTTACAGCAGTGTAGCTCAAAGTACCCAGACCTGTTATAATGATGTAATGAGGGCCCTATTTAACTTTAATTAGGATATTTAAATACCCATTAGTTCCCTCTGTCGTGTCTAAAATGGCTTCAATTCTGACCCTATCACAGATACGGTATGTCTTGCCAGTGAGGACATTTTAAAAAAAAAAAAAGAAAAAAAGAAGAAAACATTTTTCAGTTTTGTACTGATGTTCGAATCAGTAGTTAATATTTAAAACAAATCTTTATGCTGTGAGATTAAAAAACCTGCACTCTCTAGATGGAGAGAAAAGGGGATTTATTAAACTTCTCCCCACTTTCCACCTAAACTAGTGCACCAAAAAATAAATCAAACATCAGCTGGGAGATAGAGAGCTTTGCTGCCCAGTGATGTATTCTCCACCGCCGTGCATCACACACTGTACTGTAGCAAACACTGAGCTCTTCAAAATCAGAGCCACAAGTTGGACACGCGAGAAACACCATGAGACGGACGTCTTGCGGGACGGGCTGTATCATATTGGCCTCTGTTGCCAAGGAGATACGATGGTGGAGAGTAAGAGAGAGGATCTGCCTGGAGAAGCCTAGTAGTTTGTAGGTAAACAACAAAACTCACAGAAGATCACACCCACCTGAGACAACGTGCTGCAACCTGGGGAAGGTTGGCAAGTTCTCGGGATCAGCTGAGGCCGTGGTGTGTTGCTGTTGGTTTTCTTCAGTGGTAGCCAAACAGCAATAGTGTGTTTTATTTATTTATTTATTTATTGACAGACTCCACCATCAATAAATAATGAGGAAGGAGAGCAGTCGTGACTAGCACTGCACGCATCTAGGAACTCACACTCCTCAGCCTTTAAGAACAGGCTCATGGCTTCAGCATGGCACCGCCTTTATCAAAAAACACTCAGACGAGAAGCAGGATTCCATTTCTGATTTATTGTTTCAGAATTTGACTAGAAAAGCAAGAAAGAGAAACAAGGTCATGTCATAATCTATCACATTTTTACTACCAAAATTTCAGCAGAGTACATCAAATAAAGTGCTTCATACAATATGTCTATGACTCTCTTTGAAATACAGCATGAAGGGAAACTTATTTCAAGTGTCCATCAACATACAGTGCTTTATCCAAGGACAAGTGGATTGCATTTGACTAAAGCCACCCACATTAACAGACACTTTAATTCCATACAACTTGTTCAAGGTCATCTTGCACGCTCTGTCTCTCTAACAATCACGAAAGCCGTGTCTGAATAAAAGAAAGGCCCACACATTTCCTCCCTGTGCAGGAAGAATTCCTTTCTTAGCACAGCAGAGAGCAGCGCCTTCGTGGAAATTTGATTCACATGAACATGTGTGAGCTCAAACACAAAAGCTATTCTCTCTGTTGCGTGTATTTTGAGCTCAGAATGAATGCCAAAAAATGTGAATAAGAGCAATGAATTTGGTTTGATCTGCTGTGCTGTAAAATGAGAGATTATTTATGGCTAGTAATCCATTTGAGGAGCGGCCGAGGGCTCCTCTGGTTTAGCTCTGCTTGCTGATAGACTGTGTGGACAAATACCCTCTCTCCCCCTCTGGTCTGACCTCCCTCCAGCCATTAACAGAGACAAAGGCACCCACAGGCACGGGACGAGTCAAAGACGGCGCTGGTCACGATGTGTCACTTCCCTTGACAGCCACAGGGGGTGCACTGGGTCTGCCCACACTGCTTGGTAGGAAGAGCTGGCTCTGAGCCTGGCTTCTGCAGGCAGGCAGTGGGATAGCATTAACACTTGGAATAGTGACAGTACCTACCTCAGACAGATTAGTGGTAATATGGAGCAATATGGTTATTGTTGGGTGAATCCACAAAGCAGCAATTAACTGAATATCTAACAACAGTCTTTTTTAAATTTTTTTAAATAAATGAGACATTTTATGATGCACACATCAAGGTCAAGGTCATAACCACGCCTTTCAGACAGATGTCCAGATACATGTCCTACTGTCATTGTACCACTGGGTGTCAGTGTGGTGATGTACTGATAAAAGCCATCGAACACATGCTGAACACTCTTTACCAGCTTCTTCCTCCCCCCTCCCTTCTTCCTCTCCTCTCCCTCCCCTGTCATTCATTCTTTTATCTCCCACCCCTGCTCACCTGGGCTTGTCTGCGAGTGGGCCGCACAGGTTGGTTGTCAGGGTGGTTGGGCGCCCACGGCCCCAGGCTCTGATTGGAGTAGAAGTCCATGGGGTAGACTTCCTTCCAGCCTACTTCCTGTAAAGCCACAGCTGCCTGAGAGACAGACAGATGACAAATCATGTAAAAAATGAAAAAGAACAAGAAAGATGACTAGCTAAAATTGCAATTCCAGCACCCTAGGAGATGCTACAGTACACAACCCCTCCTGTTATCATGTCCTGGATTTGCAGTTTTTGGGCAAACCAGCTGCAAGAAAACCGCAGAGTGATGAGAAGACACAACAGACTGACTGTACAGACAAGACAGGTGTCATAATATTAAGCTTGGATAACAGGAAGAGTTGTCATGTTATCCCTATGCAGCTGCACTGCACGACTCAACAGCTGCTAGAGGAGAGCAACAGTACTGGCATGACAGTGCTGTGACATAAGTGCAGACTGCTCCATATGGAAGAGAGGCGCCTGTGAATACCGATTGTGAATGAAAGAAAGGAGAGCAGCTGAATGACTGAGCAGATAAATAAACACGGATGTTGCATGAAAGAACAAATCATGCAATCGTTCATTTATTCATTTATCCAACGAATCATCCATCTTTCAAACTATTTAGATGCCAGGACCCCTCCCTTCAGCTTCATATAATGTTTGGGATTATTTAGATAATGTATGGAAACATGATGATGAGGAAAACAAGTCATATTAATATCATAAAAAAAACAGCCATTTGACCCATTAGAGAATTTAGTTCAAAGGAAACATAAAAAAAAAAAAACGCAGCTTCAAAGTGATGAAATTGCTGTTCTAGTGGGACATAATTCATCACTGTTACACAGCTTGTGTGCAGCTACCGTAGTTTATTTTGTTAGTATGGTGTGTACCAACGTTGACAGGATAGTGTTCTCTTACACGGTGGCTGCATCTTTAAACAGACACAGGAATACAACACTCCCTTTAAATGTGGTTTCATACCTTCATATGAACAAGCAGCATGAAAGGATAAAAGCAACAGCAGTAGAAACACAGATATGAATTTTCTTGCTCCATAGAGGAACTGGAAATGAAGCTTCTTTTTTTTTATAAGTTTTCCAAGGTTTTGTCACACACTATGTATAAAGTCTTATATAAAAGGCAAAATGTAGCAGAGATCTGATTTCTGTGTATGTGTCTTTCAGGATTGACAAAAATAATACCCGAACATGCTTCCTTCAGATCCATCAATTAAAAATTCAATATATGGGTCAACCAAATCCCATAGTATTTACTCCTAAACAAACAAACTGTATACTGGAATAAATCTTTTATTGTCTTATTTTTTGCCTTTCCTTTCCCCAGACATCTTTCTGCTAGAGTCCTCTTCATTTTCTGCTCTCATCTGCCCTTATTCCACCCGTCTCTCATTTCCCCAGCTTTTACCCACTGCTCTCCTCCTCTCCCCTCTCACACCAACTGCCTCTCTCTGTGGAAGCTAGCTTCTCTTGCTAATCCCTGCTCTGACAGGAGAGCCAAGTGTGTCTTATTGACTATAAATATAACATGAGACGCACTGAAAATAAATGCTGCTGCTGCCCCCCCACCCCCACCTCCCACCCCTCTCCTCCCCTCTTCTCCTTGCTTACCCCATCCTCCCATCTTGCTCCTCTTCATCTTCATTCTAAATGCCACAGTGGAAAAAGCACAGTGCACTGAGACCTATAACACTCATAGGTACGAGATGGCGGTGAATTAAGACTTATCACAACCGCACACAAGCACACATGTTTAGACACAAGTGCAGCTGCAAATTATTTAAATGTACAGACATTGTACCCAAATAGCTGCTGGGGAGAGCAACGTGAGCTGTAACACAAACGGCTTAAGAAAACAGATTGCCGCTTTCCTCATTACAGCAGGGCGAATTTCAGACTACAAATGCACCGTTATAGACATCAGTCAAAAGCAATACAAAACAATCATCACTTTCTCCTCTAAGGTGAATGCTATCATTATTCTTAACGGCCTCGTTCTGAAACATAAGTGCAGCACAAGCAGTGGAGAAAAACAGCAACCATTTCAAATCAAAACCCAATATTCAAGACAGCAATTCCCCTCGCATCCATTTCACAAGGATCCAAATCAGTGGCATATCTTTGAGGAAAATCACTGAATGAATTAATAGTTGACATCAAATGCTAAGCAGCCAAGTCACATAATAGCACATAACTGCCAAACCCATCACAAAGCAAGCCTTTTTTTTTCTTTTTTTTTTTTTTTTTGCAGCCTTGCTACACCAGCTGCAGCGGCACACAAACAAACACTTGCTTTGAAATGGATCTTTATGGGTTGCTGTCCGATCTATCTCTCTCCCTTTAGAAAAACAAGACAGCTGCAGGAGGGGAGGGACTGTGTATTCCTTTAGCCAGTAGGGGGGGCTAGTCTGCTGCTGATGCTGGTCTTATGTGTATGTGTGCTGGTGTGCTCTATAGCTGGGGAGAGAGGGAGAGAAAGGAGGAGGAGGAGGAGGAGGAGGAAGAGGTGTGCTATTCCATCTCCAGCACAAGCAGGCCTTAATGAGTCCTATACAAATTCACCACCCTTTCAAACACGTTCCCATACTGTAACATTGTAGTAGCTCCCCTATCTTCTGTACTTTGAAGGCTTCAGCAGGACATCTGCCAAGGGGTCTGTGTACTGGCAGAAAGGTTTCTCTGTGCGTGTGTGTGTGTGTGTGTGTGTGTGTGTGTGTGTGTGTGTGTGTGTGTGTGTGTGTAATTCATGAGCCCCCTGAGTGACAGCTGTGATCTCACTAACAGACTATAAGGTGCATGTTTACCTCATATGGAGACAGCAGGGGTTTGGAGAAGGCTTTGCCCCAATCGATAGACAGGCGTGGACAAGCAATCTGGACCCACCTGTAGGAGAGACAAGGTACAAATATACATCCATGACTGAGTACAAATGTGTGCGTAAAACAGAAGCAGTCAGAGAGGGTGAGAGCCCAAGATCCTATTAGACAGGCAGGGCACATCTGCGACTCCATGCTGCATGTGGATATGTGATGCAATGGGTTGTGCAGGGAGGGAGCCTCCCTCCACCTGATCTCCAGCATCTGTTGGAGAGATCTGTCCTGATTTGCAACAGCTCTAAAGACAGCCACACTACACTGTCTGAATGCATAGCTAGCCAGTGAAAGAGGGAGTCGGGAGAGACGGAGGAAGGTTTTGTGGTAGTGGTGGTGGTGGAAAAGCGGGGGTGGGGGGGCGACGACGACTTGGTTGCAGGAGGCATAAACAGAAAAAACAGGGAAAGAAGTGAACAGAGGTGAAAAGAGAAGAAATGCAGCGAAAAGAAAAGAGGGAGAGGATAGGTGAGTGTGAATAAAAAAGCCGCACCAGCCCGGTCTCCACGGAGGTAGCCTACATAGCTGGCAGACAGGGTGGTGGGGTGGTGGGGTTGGTGGGAGTGGGGGGTAATGGGGGGAGTGTATAAAAGAGATGGGGAGGGGGTGAGAAAAAAAGAGAGGACACAGATACACAGCGATAGGGAGAAAGAGAGCAATGAAGATGAAAAACAGAGGGAGTGGGGTGGTGGTGGTGGTTGGGGGGGGGGTAAAGACGCACAGGCAAGAAGAGAGGAGAGAACAGAGGCAGAAGAGAAGAGGAAGATTGGCAGGGAGAGAAGTGTTTATTCTGGAAAATGCATGAGAGCGGGATGAGGAGGGCGTGGATGTAAACAGCTGGAGGGAAAAATGAACAATGGGAAAATGGAGACGAGAGAATCGGCCGGGACTACAGGGGTTAGCTTTCACAGATCAATGCTATCCACAGCTCCATCTCCATGGAGGGAGCAGACCCTCCCTTGTCCCTAATCCTAATGATGGAGCTCCATCAGGAATATTGACAGATATGAACTTAGCTGCAGTGCATATAAAAGCCCCGGAGATAACGCTAGATGTAGGTAAATGTCAATAAGAATATACCTGCTTGCGATTAAAGCAAAGGAGTACAGGCGAGTACAGAGGCATAGATGGAAAACACATGAAAGACAAAAAAAAAAACAAAACAACTTTTGCAATAATCGCTTGAATACTTTCATGTCTACTGCGTCACATCCCCCCATCTGTCTATTCTTCATTTGCCAACTTTCACACAGTTTCTCAACTGCAGAATTGATTGCACCGTTGACTTTCGCTCTACTCCTCTTTCTGTCACAGAAATATTCCACCCCCTCTGGGCAAACGCATGGCATTTTCTCATTTTCAAATAACACTTTAGAAAAAAAAAAAAAAGAAAAAAAAAAGGGTGAATTCTTATTCATCCTACTAATTTGAGAGCCAGCTGAGTCAGAGATATTTGTACAAAGAACCAATCTCCTCAGACCTAAGTTTGCTGAGTTTAGATGGAGAAATATGACCTTTAAGTCCATCAGCTTCTTTTCATAACTGGAGCCTGTTTCGTAGCCAAACACTGTATCAAAACCGCCTTAGCTTGTACACACAGAGAAGGGACTAATTACAGGAGGAGAAGTCTGACAGTTTGCATGTGTGTGCACATGTATGTGAGCCTCTGCTGTTGTATGAAGTGAAAAGAACGCTGGGAGTGGCTAAAAGCAGGAGGGTGATTAATAAGGACACCAAGACTCTTTAAATGAAATCCTTGGGGCTAGCACTGAGAGGAAAGTAAGACAGAAAGCATGAAAGGGAAGGCAGAGAGGATCCCTCCTGAGCAGCAGATAGTTGATTGGCACATAGAGCCAGAGGGGACTTTTCTAATATTAGCACAGGGACTGACTGAACGGTGCAGTTCAGTAAAATACATGGTACCATGCCAGGTATTGCCCCCTGAATGCAGCCCAAATTGTATTTCCAGCCCTTATCTGGCCTTCAATCTAGCCAGCACAGAAGGGAGAACACACAGCAAGGGGTGCAGTGAAACAAAGCGAAAGCTGGAGGAAAGAAGGAGAGAGGTGTACAGACACAGGTAAAAGGTGGGGGTTTGTCTCTGGTAGCTGAGCCTTGTTCCACAACTTAAGAACATTACTAGGCAAAGATTAACTGAATAAAAAAGAATAAATGAACAAAACTTTGATATAAATCTTGTCTGCTCAGTCCCTCTCTAAAGAATGTGTTTACTTACTGTACTTACTTCTACTGAAAATACAAACCCACAACACGTATAAGGATTAAACAAGCAGGATGCAGGGCTAGTGAGGGCTCTGCTGCGACATATAAAAGGTAAGATCGCATGACATTTAGTGCTACTATGCAATGTGAGCCCAAGCTTCGCCACATTAACTGCGTTGGCCCATTGCACCCTGACACTGTTAGGATGACCTCCACCTGCGTGGCTTTGCTTCAATTACACTCACATTCTTGAACCGCCAAAAGCAAGAACAATTAACCTTTCAGCTCGGCAGGAAAATGGAAAGTTTTCACCTTTAACTGCAAATTCAATTCAATTAAAACAAACAATTTAATTCCAATAGAGTCAAAAATTAAAATTCAAACAGAAAGATAAAAGGCTGTGATGCACTGGGTGGTATTTGCGGTCTAGTTGAGATAAGTGTGTGTGGTGTGGAGATATCTGTACAATAGTTTAAAACCTGCTTGGGGACAGCCTAATTACACACTTAAGAGCATATGCTAATGGCGCCTCTCTCTTTATATGAGTGAGCATGTGTGTGTCTAATGACAGAGAAAGCCTGGGGGTGGGCTCTGTACAGTGTGCCGTGTCCGCTAGTGCTGAGCACTAATGCGTCCTTTACCACCCCATCGTCTATTGCTCAATCTCTCTGTCTCTCTCTCTCTTCTATTCCTCCTTCAGCCGGATCCAACACAGCTTCAACCACCTGGTGGTTTGTAATGTCTATTGTAGCCTCATGTAGGATACCCGTGTTCTTACAAACTCTTCTGAGCAGTGAGGGAGAAAAACAGAAGAAAAAGAGAGAAAATAAAATGGCTGATAAATAACAAAATACCAAAATACCAAAATATTAGCAGGAGACATCCACTCGATGCTGTCTAATTTCACTCTAAATAAGAATCTGTGATTAATGATGTAAACAATGTTGTCAGTGTGTCATGTCTTCCAAAATGAACCTTCATTTTCCACTTTCATCTAGCCTAGACTCATTAAGGAACACTAAAACATTTTTTTTTTCAAACACATTACACTGACAAAAACACCATTACGATGAATACATGTAATGGTCTCAAATAAAGCAGGAAATTGAACTTTAATACTTTTTTGGTATTGACCAGAGCATCAAGTATCAAAACTGTCAGTGACTAAAAGCTGGCATCAAATGCCTGCTCCGATTATTGAAGGTCTTATTCTTTGAGGAGGTATTGTGTTGGCACTAGTACTGAAAATCCTCAAATGATTACAAGCCTTAGTCTTCAGTAGTACAAAGAACAATTAGAATCAGTTGCCAATTTATTAGGTACACCTAGCTAAAACTAATGCTGTCTAATACAACAGCCCTGCAATAGATTCTACCTATGTTCAGCTTTGTTTCTAATTCTGTTTTAGAGAGGTGTTAATTCAAATGTATGGTAATTTTGGAGGGTGTTACTTAATTATGTTCTGTTAAACTGAGAGATGTTTCAATTTTTTTTGTACACCCCATTTGTATAAATACAGGAAGACTAAATCTTAGAAAAATCTCATTATATAGGATTTGTTACGTGAAAATTAGTTAGCTAGGTGTACCTAATAAACTGGCAACTCAGTATAGAAGCATATAGTGTATTCCCATCTGATATATATTTATACAACAGGCCTTAATTTTGTATTCAAACACTTTGGTTTTCTTGACATCAATACCATAGATGCTGCTGAAACAGACCTTGTTGAAAAGCTCTTTGTCTGTAATGAGGGTTTGTTTTGGTTCGGTGAATCGTGCCTGACTTACATAATTTTCAAGTTACACTCATACATCAGTCTGAGGAGGAGAGCCAAAAAACAAAGAAAAAAAAAACATTTTCCGTGATCGCTCTCTTTCCAAACACAGCCCCCTCAACTACCTCTGCATCTCTCTCTCTCTCCCTCCCTCCCTCTCCGACTCACTCTCAGACCTTCTGTCCCTCTCTCACCCACTCCTCCCTCACACATCACACCTCTCATTACTCCCCAGCGAGAGGCCAATCTGAGGGAGTGTGAGGAGCGCGTGTGTGACTGTGTGAGTGCCTGTGCCCGCGTGACTGTGATTGGAGCTGTTGCACATCAGTGTGTCACTAACCCCTAATCCATCTTCACCTTTGGTCATTCCGGCTGGAAGTCAGACAAATCAGAGGAACTGCACCTTGAAGTCTGAGCACTTGATACTTCATTGAGAAACCTGAGGAGTTGATTGTTATTATCATTATTATTATTATTGTTTTTTTTGGCCATTTTATGCCTTTATTTGATAGGACCCACAGAGACTGACAGGATATTCAAGGAGAGAGCAGGGGAGGCTGGATGGGATTTGAACCGCGGACTCACAGCTCCAGGCATACGAGCCCACGTTGTATGTGCCCTAACCATTTGGCTACCAGGTCGCCCCGAGGAGTTTATTTTTCAAATACATTAATGGGTGTTGCTGGGCTGGGAAACAGTGTTAAATGGCAGAACACATTTCCCTGGCCACTGTCTTTATAAAGAACATGTATTAATGACAAGAACCACATGTGCATCAATAGCCTCCCACTTCACCAATAGTTTCATTGTTTATGAGGGAATGAGTGAAAGTGTTTATTATGTGTGATGAGTTCACAGTTTCCTTGGTTTCAGGTAAGGCAACATATTTTTAGACTCTGGTAAGATGATTAAACAGAATTTGGAACCTAAAGGTAAAATAAATAAATAATAAGCCATCTGGAGCCAAGGGCAAGGCTAATTTTTTATTTTTTTTGGTTTATATCATACTCTGACCTTATTGCAAAAGTACAGAGTGAAAAGTAAGCACTTTAATAGATTATTCATGTATAAAATTCTTCTTTCTATGCCCTGTGTGTCAAAGATGAGGAAACTGTATCAAGCATCCCAAGTTCATTACGCTGGACTATTTGTTTTTGCTACGAAGGCAAAACTATGGAGTCTGACCGAGGCATGAATGCCAATTTTGTTTATGAAGCTGTAGACTCTAGACTACTGTTTGCCAGCTCCTTGTTATAGTGTGCACTGGCAAATTATGCTGACTCCCCAATTATGTGTGCAATGATGCTTACAGAATACATTTCAAATGTTGTTGATTATAACTTTTGGGTGACTACTTGCTGTTGATTGTAATAGCTGTGCTGGGGTCTGGTGTTTTGAAAGATAAATCACCAGTTCTATAAAACAAAGACACACAACGGTGATTAAGAAGTAAGAAATGAAGAAAACAGTGAGCAAAAGGAGAAAGTGTTTTGGTGACATGTGCAAGACAATGAAAGTAATCTCAACTTTTATGTTGCAGGAAGCTTTGGCATTTGGACATGGAAAACCTATCAAATACATGTATAAGAGGATCTTCAAGTCTTTACAGAAACAAAAATAAAATCTTCTTTTTCTTTTTGCTGCGTAAGGAAGCTGCTTTGCCCCGCAATGCCTCATGCACTGTGCATCGGGGGTATTGTAATGGCTAATAGACCAAAATGTCTTTGCAAGCAACTAGATCAGCTTCAAACCAGCCACAAACACAACCTAAACAAGCTGCTTGATTTGTTTTCTGCATTCACGTTATGTAGCGAAAACTGAGTTCACAACATTTGGGTTGGCGTCTGCTCGGCGAGGAGTATATGGGTCATCGTTTTTACTTCATCTACCATGGCCAAGCAGTTGTTACACAATGAATAGCACATGGACTCAATTGGGTGTGTCTTAGTGTGTATCTTAATACTCACGCATCTATATCCTGCATAAGATCCAGCTTGCTGGGGAAAATCTCAGACAGGAGAACTCGAGTGAAGTTCTTGCCCAGAGACTGAAGCCTTGACTCCAGGTGCTAGGAAGAGAAAGAAGAACTAGAATTACCACCTCACGGTTGTATGCCTCAGCCAACCGGCCAACATGCAGGAAATATGGACACAATCTCTCCCTCCAGAGCTACAGCACTGAATAATGGACAGAAGTGTATTTGCAGAACATTATGTCACAGTGAAGTTGACCCTTGACCATTTGGATATAAAATGTCATCACATCATCATTTTATCCTCTTAGATTTTTGTGTTAGATTGCGTCATAATTAGCGTATGAATTTGTGAGCTATGGCCAAAAAATGGGATATCATGTTCACCAGAATGGGATGGACAGAAGTAAGATTATGGCAACACAAAAAAACATAATGCCTGCGGCCCTGGCTATCACTGGCATGGAGGCATAAAAGACCAATGGAAATGGTTTGCGATCCACACATCAAACACAATTCTCTCTTGTGTTGTGAAACTCCACCGTAACAAATCATAAGTTGCATAGCCCATGACTTCCACCCACACAGACACAATCTTTTAAGCAGTCCAATCTAAGGTACTCCCAAGGTTTTTCCTCTATTGTCAATCTTAACAGAAAGACTATTTTATCCAGCTGTCAGTTTCTGAAGCCTCATATGCCCATCCATCCATTTTTTGCTGCTTTTCCAAGTCCACATTGTGCTGAGAGCAAGGTAAGGAAGGTAACATACAAATCTGTCTCCTCAGCCATGTCCTCTAGCTCCTCCTGGCATTCTCAGGCCAAATTGGGATATGTAATCCCTCCAACATATTCTGGGGCTTCCTCTGTCCATTTGGCTCTGGCCAAAAGCCTCCACAGAGGAGCATCTGGATTAGGTTCCCAAAGGAGCAGCAGTTCTACTCATCCTCCGGATGTTCAGTCTCCTAAACCTACAACTATGAGCCCAGACACACAGAAGGGAACTCAGTTTAGGTGCTCACAGCCACAATTGCATTCTTTCAGTCTTTGCCCAGAGCTCAAAACTGAAGAGGGCAAGAGTTCAGATCACGCACTTTTGCTTCAGACTCCCTCTTCATGGATGTCCAGCACAATGGCCACATTATTCCCGTCACTGAACCATTCCCCCTGTCATTCTCATAGGACATCTTAGACGAATAAACTAATAAGACCAAGTGATACTTGAACTCGTTCACTGTTGACAGCAATTCGTTCCCAATCTAAAGTCTGGTATCCAGTTTTTTCCTGCTGACTAAAACACCCTCAGACTTGGAAGAGCTGACTCTCACAATCACTTCACATTCAGCTGTAAATTGCTACAATGAGTGTTGGAGGTCAGAGGCTGATGAAGCGAACAGAACTACACCATCAGCAAAGATTCAGTCCTGAGGACACAAACAACAAATTGGTGTTTCTCTACCTCTTGGGTGTACCTGGAAATTCTGTCCATAAAGATCATGCAATTGGTAACAAAGCAAAACCCACCCCCACTGAGAACACACTTTGATTGTTGCTGAGTATACAACACACCTCTCACTGTATTCTTGAAGTACCCCACACAACATCATGAGGGGTACAATCATAAACCATAAGTCCAAAAAAAAAACTCCCATGACCCTTCCTGGCAAGTGAAAGAACTGGTCCATTGCTTGACAAACAACAGGGAGTACACTTTGGTCCTTCTGAAACTGAGGTTCAACAACTGACTGAACAAACGCCAGTCAGAGCCTTGCCCTCCATGACACAGTTGTAAGATGTGACAAACTTTTTCAATAGGGGAAAATAGTGGTTCTAAGCGGGTTCTGACACCCTTCTGGCATCTTTCACTTGAAGCAACACTGGAAAAGGAGGGTCTAGCCAGGACTTCGGTGTCATAGTTGGGGGCTATATGTAGAGGTGAGCCTAACTATATTGGATTGGTACCTCAAAGAGGTAGCACTGTACATCCCACCATCCAGTTTTCCTAGCCAGGGTTTAGCTCTCAGCTTTGCCTGGCATTTCACAATGCACTAGACCCCTACACCACCCTGGAAGATAGTGGGGGGCCCACAGCTGTCCCTACTTTACTTCCTAAGGCTGAGCTGGATCAGGCCGCTCGGGTACAAGCCCAGACACCAGGCCTCATATAATTTATCAATAAGTTATAAATGTTTAGCCAGTTCAGGGAACTCTGGTCCTCAGCTTTTGAAGTTTTGGAGGGGTGTTATTCAGGGATACAGGAAGCAGCTAAGAAATCTCACAAATGTCTCTTTGGTGAGATAAAGGTACCAGTATTTGCTGATATCCACTGTCCTTGGGACTATCATGAGACATTTCTACAACTGTGCTCTTATCGCAGAAAGTACTGTCCCCTTACTTGAGAGGTTATCTGAAACTACACTTAATCTCGACAGATCACTATGGGAGAGCTGGTGGGTCTTTTTATTAAAATCCCCCTTTTTTAATCCATCACCTCCTGCCACCCTAAAGTAAAACTTTTCTCTCTCTGGCTGACATTTTTATATCAATGCTAACTTCGTCTTTTAAGCCTGGGTATTTACAAACAGGAGACGTGCACCAATATGAGCATCAGGATGTATAAAGACTGATGAAACCTAGCTGTGATGTGGTTTTAAACCTTTTACATGTAGGGTTCAAGTGGAAGTCCATGTACTCTACCATGATGTAATGTGTATTCATTTCAGACATGATGACATGACAAGGCCAAATAATCAACAGCACAGAAAACTCAAGTATGGGTACATCAAACAAAGGAGAAAGAAAAAAAGAGAGCAATATAGAGCGGGAGAGGGAAGCAGCTGGAAGAGCAGCTGTGGATTAGGAGTGACCAGAGAGGGCATCTTGGTCAATCGATTGATACCCTCAGACGTACTTGCAAAGACTTAGAGTTTAGAATTTATGAGTCTGCTCCTAATGGACCAGCATGTGAGTGTGTGCACATACATAGTATTTATGAATTCCCTGGCCATCATTTCTATCTAAGTGAGTGTTTTCAACTTATATCAAATGTTGATACAGTTGGTAAAAGTGTGACTTATATACAAAGAGCCTTGACCACAGCCTTGAATGATTAGTGTTGTCTAATTCAAAATCGTATACGTTTTAAAAGGGAGAAAGAATCCCAGTCTCATTACACTTAACCTTTGAAATCTGTTTGTCAGGTTGCTGAATAACAACCTTACCACCAATTGTGAGTGATTGAATTTCTCTAATTAATTTGATTTAAGATTCAAATTGCCAATTAATTGAAAAAGCTTTCATTGAAGGAAAGCATGGATTTTTGTGCTGTATTCTTTTTAGCTTTTAAATTGTTATCTATGGTTGATTATTTCTCATTTATGTCGCCAAAGTGATAACAAGGAATTGCTTAAAATTTACATCCCTAGCAGTAACACTGCAATACAGCCAACCTTGAGGCCAACTGTGGGATCAAGGTTACAACTTTCTATGGCTGTGTGGCTGCATCATCCTAAATATGAAATAACAAGCTCCCAGTGTGAAGACTGCTAGTCCTATTAGTACTTCATGTCAACACATCACTTGTCAGAGAAACTCACACTGAAAAATATTACAAACCATTGCATAAGTGGCCTCAGGACATGTAGACATGTTGAAAGGAGGGTGCAGACACTCACCTCAAGCACTTTGGGGCTGCCCTGCCGGCCTAGCGTGCCCAAGATCAGGCCCCACCTCTGGGCTGAACGAGCGTTGTTAATAGCCTGGAGCCTTAAGGCACGCATGGCCTCATGGTCATAGTACTCCCTGGAGAAAACCTTACTGTAGGGGTCATATCTACAAATAAACACAGACAGAAAAAGGCAAAGACACACAAATGTGAATGGAACGTTTGCATAGACATAAACAGACACAAACCTCATTATACACATTAGCCTCTATTGTTCAGGTATCTATCTTGAGGATAGAAATGCAAGAAAAGGTGAAAAAAATCCAATCATGAAAAGCCATCGAGTATGACAGGAGTCAGTGTATCCTTGAGAAAATGGAGGTATTTCTGAGCATCTAATCTCCTTTTCTCCGGTACAAGGGGTTCACTTGAGATTAGAATCTTGTTTATGAGAGAGACCTGTGATCTGTGCGACAGTGCATATGTCTATAACAACACAATTTCACTTTGCATGCAAACAAGACCTCATCAAAACAGAACTTCATACTCACAAAATGTTATCATGACACTGTAATATGGCGAGTGATCACGACCGTCGGCATGATACAAAACATCTCTATCTATAAAACATCTTAACGGGTATTCACATATCTTTTAAAATCTTTATTTGTAAAATTGTTTACTTTTCTCCTTTGTTTACCTTTTGCAATCAGATTATTTTATTCCATTAACATGATTTAGTTGTGTAAATAAAATTAGAAATATAATGCTAACATTTTCTTAATGCTGTCAGTATATAAATTACAGACACATGAAAATATTTGAAGACAAATGGTGGAAAGAGCACAATACCTGTAGGCAGGGACGTCTGGGTTTGCTATCATGATCGACTCCAGGTGAAATCTTCCATCTCCCAGATAACTAGAGAAAAACATCAATCAATTCAGTGTTAGAAGTAAAGAAAAGAAACGAAGAAACATAATTCGTGCCACGGAAACCCGCACTAGACAGTCAATGTTCAATATGTAATCATATTAAATACTGGCCTATTATTTTCCTATTCTCTCCACCAGCTCGCTCGCTCTCTCTCTCTCTCTCTCTCTCTCTCTCTCTCTCTCTCTCTCTCTTATCTATTTACTCTCTGCAGCCTTTTAACAATAGACCAAAGTGTTACCAGGCAGAAGGCCTAAGGCTGGGGTAGAGGGCTTGCCCATCTCTGCTGTCCAGGAACATGACCCCGACGATTGGAGCATGCTGTTTACAGAGAATGCACGCCCTTCCAATTAACCCTGGGTCTGGTGCTGGGGATTCACCAGAGCACAAGCAGAGGCAGAGTTCAAAAACCATAAGTACACACAGTCATGTAGGCGCCTGAAAACACAAGCTCAGGCAGAACACTGACATAACCCCCCAATCTCAGGGTCAGGCTGAGAAGAATCATGCTGTTAGTGTGAGGGGGCTCAGGTTGGTACCTCTACTCATTACTGTACAGCCTTGGTAGGCCTACTGAGACAGGAAATGCAATTAAACCCACTAATTGGTCAGTGTTTAGAGCAGCTTAGAAATGGCTGTGGGTGGTTTGCCATATACACTACCTGGAGACAAATCTCGTGTGCGTGAATGGGCCTTTGTGAAAGCAGTGCTTTCAAAGCACACGTCTGTCTCACTGTACTTGTGTGTATCACAAATAACACTGAGCGACAACACAAAACGAACCTGAGAACAGCCTCTGTTGCACTGCTTCTCTTTGCTTAGCAACATCCAAGGACCTCATATAATTATGTTCCCAACAATAAGCCTGCTGCACTTCAGCCAGGGCTGTCCTCAGCCCTCTATAGCTTTAAGAGGCTGCTGTGCTCGACTCAAGCTCTCTCCACGATCACAGTTCTTCCATCCATATTCTATTGTTCTTTGTAAAAGTGCTGTCGCTTTAATGGTAAATGCTACGCGTCTTTGCGTTATGTAACACCCTATCTTCACATTTACATCTTCATACTGTTCTATCATGAGGAGAGAGCAAGAGAACAGGCAGATAGAAATGGTCGACTGATCATTTCTTATAATTCTTTTCAATGCACTTTTCAGCTTTTAAAAATACTTTTCTTCATTATAAAAACGAGGCAGACCAGGCCTTTTCTAAAGCCTCAAAGACTAATGGACCACTACTCATTCTCCATAATGCTCAAGTAGTTCAAAGCTTAGGCAAAATGCAATTACAACCAGTGCATGTAACATTTTTGGAGCACTGACTAATTCCTAATTAATGTAATATAACTCAATGTTAAATATGAATTTACTGTACTATTAAAGGTGATGAACAAAACCCTGCAATGGTTAAATAAAAGCTTGTTCTGTGCTGCTTTTGTTAGAGATATTGGATAATCAATTGTGTCAATGCCTTAACAGTTATTCATTGAGGTAATGTACACGAATACAAGTATACTGAATGTGCATGTGTGGAGACACAGAGTGAGAGAGAGAGAGTGTGAGAGAGAGGGAGGAATGGGAGGGGAGAAGCGTACCAACTCTCAGGCAGGCTAATCGATTCTGTCTCCCATCACACCCCTACACACCTCGACTCACACATCAAAGACAACGCACATTGGATTAGTAGGTGAAGCGTACCCTAACCCTTCCACTTCCTTCACATGTACAAAGACACACACGCACACCACTTTTGTCTCCCACAGGGACTGGCTTATGCACATAGCAAAGCTTGCCCTCGTGTAGCCGTTTTAATGTCATGCACTGGGAGATTTTAATCACATGGACTACCACCAGATGTGTGTGGATCAGACGTACCAGGCTGAAGCACCTAGACATAATTATACCTGGGGAATTACTTCAACTCGCCATGCACCGTAAAGCATAAGATTCTCTCTACTGTAGAGCTGCGTGAGATGTACAGACACAAAGTGGCTGCGGAGGTGTTGTTTGTTGCACGGACCTGTTACTTTGACAGAGCACTCTCTTCCCTGCAGCACAGTGAGATAAGCATCACTTTGACAAGTCTCACATGCGCAGCATTTATGTTGATGTCAAAACACTGAAGAGCTAGTCTGTTAGGACACGTGCAGCGACCAACTACTACACATCTTTTTTTTTTTGTTCCATTTATCGGAAATGAAGGGGAAAATAAAAGCAAAAAGCAGGCAATGAAACTAATTTACAGACAAACGGTGACATGTTGCAGTTTATCACTTCTCACCATGTACGTGTCACAGTAGGTGGAACACTTTGTGAAAACATTTCTTTAAAACATGGGAAAATTGGCGAGCATGTGGATGTGCTTTGGTTGCTTTGAAACAGCCCAAAGTGGCCGTGTCTGACTGGCTTCATACAATTCACTGCTTTGCACAGTGTTAAGGTATTTTTAGCCTTGCCATCCTGGATCAGCATCTGGTTGTTATATCCAGCTGGATATTACAGAAGCCTGATCGGAAGCACACAGACATGGCTGGTTGTCACAGCTAGCCACATGTATGTATGCCTGGTGTGACTGGTGTGATGTCATACTGATCCATCCGCATGTCACATGGGTGGGAGATGGCAATGGCAGGGATAATTATTGTGGCTAACTGGAGGGGAGGGGAGCAGTGACGAGATGAGTCAAGGCTGGATGTCTTTGGATATGTGGATATCTCTTCTAACTAACTGAAAGGAAGAAAGAAAGGACAGGGCCCGGGTTGAAACTGTGAGGTGGAAGACAGGAGGAGGAAAAGGGAGATTTCTTACATTATGGCGTTGACATTGCGGTCCAAACGAGGTGAGGTACAGCCCAAAATTTCTCCTGGCGACAGAGGTCGACACTGTGGGACCAGCATGTCATATTCTGGCTTGAGGGCTGCACTCACAGCCTGCAGCATGGAGGAAGGGAGAACGAGAGATGGTTAGAGATTTACAGGTTTTGCCCAGCTCAACTTTAACCTCTTCCTTGTTTTGGAATGGCTCTCCAAAAATAGAGCTGTGAGAGACAGTCTTAAAGTAACAACCGAATTAGCTGCTATTCATAACTTGTACACACCATTAGAAGCTGACAGCAAAAAAGAAACTATGTATTAAGGAGCAAAAAAGGTGAAGATGGCCGATCCAATTCTTTTTTGTGTTTTTAATAACACTGTGTGCCTGTACTTGTGCACTTATTCAGTTAATTTTCTCACTTTTCTGCATTCAATTGCTCTCCTCTTTTTTTTGTAACGAAGAATAGAAACAGAAGCCACAGAAAATGGGGGCAGATTAGACAGAAGATACTGAATATGTATACGGAAAAAAACAGTACGTAGTAACCAAAAGATAAAGGATCAAGAGAGGGCAATGATGAAAAGACTGATAAAGAGCAGAAAAGATTATACTAATGTGGCCCTAAAGTGATCCTGAAGGGGTCATGCATGTCACTAACTCTCCCAAAGATTTAATTCCCAGTGAAGTCACCTGTATATCATGCTAAAAATAAATCATGAAAAGATGTTAATAAGAAGAATATCAACACAAGATTGACAAGGGAAAAAATATTTTCCACACACCTACATTCATTTAAGCAAATAGAGAAGATGAGAGAACAAACAATTACAGCAAAAATAAAAATAAAATGAGCTGTTGCGCTCGGAGGTGGAAGGACAAATTGAAGGATTTAAGGCTTATTTAAGCCAGTCCACAGGGAATACAGATGAACTCCCAGCTTCTCCCTCCCATACTGTGTGACCTCGACAAGCCTACACACCATAAGACATGAGTGAGATGGATGCAATACACAACTACAAACACAGACACATATGCACACATTGATGCACTCAAACACCCCAACATAAAATATGACCCACATGGGCAGAGCGTGGTTTAAAAATAACAGCAGTTACATTAGTGAAGGCCCAGAGTGGTGTTGGTTCAGCACAGCAAATGAAAGCTGCAAAAGGCATTATAGAAGAGAAGCTGGAAAAAAAAAAAAAAAAAAAAAAAAACGGTGTTCAAGTTTAATGCTATAGCTGCTGCCACTGCTTATGTAAAGAGCAGAGCTGAGCACGACGCTGAACCGAGAGGCCTTCCGAGTTCATTCCACCTTTCAAATCCAAAATAACTGCCGGCCGATATCTAAAACCCCACTCTTGAACTGAGCTTAAGTGTGGAGTGTGAGCTTGTTCATAAAAACCAGGGACCAAAAAAAGTATACTGTACAAATATAAACAAGTCTTTGTGTGCCCCTATACTGTACATACAAAAATACTTGGGAAAATCTGAAAATACACACAAGTGACAACAATTATTCAGCTACAGATACTGAATCACTCCACCTCGGCTCTCTCTGCACGGAAACAGACCCACATACACACGAAATCAGACAGACCCAGTGCGCAATCACCTGCAGTGCTGCTACAAACTGAATAGTGCTGACGAGTGCCAGAGATTGTCCAGGGGGGAAGTTGAACTTGACCGTGTCCAGGAAGTGCGCATTGTCCATCTGGATATCCACAAACACATACAGCATCTTAATACCTGCTGTGGAGTCGATGGGGACTGCAGGGAGACAAAGAGAAAGAAAGACAGATGAATTATTCACTCCGTTATGTCAGGTAAGCCTGCGGTATATACACTATTGATGGTGCCTCAAACATTCAGCGATGCAGCTACACGGGAACACAGTACATACGTATATAGCTCGCAGGAGGCACCCGTGTCATATAACTGAAACTTATTCACTGCGAGTCTCCGGCACACGCGGCAACTGATGCAAAGACCTCAATTATTTAGGGAAGGAGAGGGACACATGTGATTACTATTAATGCCATTAATTTCACAGACCATTTGCTACGCACGCGGGCCTGAGAGAGGTAGCTAGAGACATGCTGAGATAGATGTTGAAAAAGTAGGTGGGAGTCCAAGAAAAGAGGGGGAAAGGTCACGGATAAGAAAGAAGAATTATCGTTTGCATTGATCAGCATAATTATTCTTCCTGTGGTGTTACATTTAATTTGCAGATCAGGAGCAAGGGGACCTTCTTTTTTTTGTTATGATTAAGTAAATGAACCATTATGGTGAAAATGTCTTAGGAGCAAATGCAGCTCACTTGATGGCCTTGATTAAAGCAACACTGAGAGGGAGATAGGGGAGCAAAGCGTGACAATGGGGAAGAAACCACAAGTGTGGCCTGGGAGAGACTGAAGAGCTGTGAGATACATATCTTTACAAAGGGCTGATGGGATGGAAACAGGAGTGAGGAATGAAAGGAATAGGAATAGGAAATTCCAATGAAAGTAGGCTGGAAAACACTGAAATTCAGTTCGGGGTTGGGGGTAGGCGATTTAATAATGAACTATATAAATTCCACAAGATAGGGGATGGAAGAGAGAAGTGGAAAAGGTAATAGGATACTGTCTGTGTGTGTGTGTGTGTGTGTGTGTGTGAGAGCGTTAAGGGGTGGGTTGTCAATTAACTGGTAACAGAAGTGATGAATGGGCTCACATCTCAGCGGAGAGCGAATGGTTGGGGATGGATAGGGAAATTAAAAGGTAGGTTTTGGCTACGAGCCACATGTTGAGTGAGAACCCAAGGAGTTAAACAGATCATAAGGCTAAAAACAGGGTGGAGGAGTTGTGTAAAAAATCCAGACTGAGACGAACAGCTGTCTGTTGCTTGTTTATAGGCACTCCTAAAACGCAAAGGGCAAAGAAAAGTGACATCGATCTGTGCTCACATTAGCATGGTAGCCTGAGAGCACTTAGATGCTGCAATTAGAGACACAGTCAATGAGATGGACAGGACTCACTTGCACCATCAGTGGTTTTATTCATCTGTGTTATAGCAATAAGGTCACTCAGCACAGCTGCTTGTTAGTGCCCATGTAAACACACACAGGCACATTTGCAGCAAGTGGGATTAAGAAAAGGTTGGACGTAATGGTGTTCCGGCTTGTTTACAAATCAATACGTCCAACCAGGTTCCATTCCATGTTGTGCATGTGGAGAATACTTCCACGTGGCCTTTCCACATATGTATGTGACAAATGAGCAACTCATTGTTCTTACTTTTAACCAACTATGTCTTCCCTGTTTATTCCACCTTCCTGTTGTTTGACTTGAAATAAATGATCAGATAAATGGTGTTCAGAGCCTTGTAGAGATACCACAGTAGGCAGAGCCTTAAATTTTTTCTCATTACCTCCTTAACCTTGTTCAATGTCTTAGCCTTAATAATAACAATAATAATGACAGAGCTTTGTTCTTTGTAGCTGCTCTTTTAAACATGTGGGTCATTTTAGAGAGGAGCCAATGAAAACATAGCATACAGCCTTAAAAAAAAAACAATGATAAAAATCATCATCTGAGCAGTGAATTTGAAATTGTGTGTATACCATAATAACTGAAATACTAAAATATCTAGTAAGTAATGTCTGTGGATGTAAACTGTTAACTGGCCTATCATTTAAACCCAAGTGCCACGTTGGTCAATGTCAATTACACCAGCTCAAACTAAAATTGTGCCTCGGGTAAGTTTTGCTTTATAACGCTCTTGTGAAATGAGTCATGCCACCAAAATAGTAATGATCTGCTTGTGATGTGGAAAAAGGTCCAGTAATACTGAAAGCAATGGCAGCTGGCTTGGCATTATCTGAGCAAGGCAGCTATGCCTTGCCAGTTTTTTTTTCCTCCTGTGCTTTTACCAGTTTGCTAAATAACCACAAAGAAATAAGTGACAAATGTAAAAATATAACAAATATTATTAATAATAAAAAAATATTTAGCTCCCTCTCTCTCTTGCCCACACACGTTCTTTCTTGGTCTTTTTTTGTGCAGACTAGTCAGACATTCAGTTTCAAAAACATCAGTGTGGTTAAGTCAATTCCCATATCTCATAGCAGTAAATATTGTTATAACGTTAAAACATACAAAAACATGGTTTCATGATGTTGCCCGTGTTGTCCTGCACTAGATGGAGGTGATAAAAGACGAGACGACACCAATATTCAGAAGGAGATACCGCAGAGGAAATGAAAGGGAAATAAAGGAACACAAGAGAGACGGTTTCTCTATGAGTCAGTCAGAACACAGTGTCTTTAATCTCCCAGGGTGTGTGACATCTTGGGAAACAGTGCAGATGACGTCCTCATGATTGAGTGATGAAGGTCAGGAACACATACACACTGGCACTCTTACACTCTGCATATTCTTTGGGAATCTGTAGTTCACCCCATTTCTTTGACAAATGCTTCCATCAATTAATGTCTGATCTTACTGCACTACCAGCAAAAAAAAAAAAAAACTGATCTTTGGTGCCTTTATGTTTGCCTTTACTGGGTTCTTCTGAGCTTAAATGGGAATGCATCCACATCTTATCTTTTTCGCAAACATACAAGCAAGCATTCACATAATTCCTCCACGAAAATCAAACAACAGTTGTGCGCACACACCACACACAAAGACAAACTCAAAAAAAAAACAAAAAAAAAACAAAAACAAAGAAAAAACACAGAGGGCGCTTTACAGTGTATTAAAATTCTGTTGGTCATCCCTGGTATTTGGGAGAGGTGAGGTTGTTCTGGCAGGGATATATCAAAACTATTGATTTAGCATTTCCTCCCATGTTCTGCAAGAGACAGACAGCGGGGGCGAGGGTGAAGGTCCTCAAGAACTACTTGAGGTTTTCAAAGGACTGCTCTAATGCATGTTCCCCATTGATCTGCCGGGTAAATGTGATGTCCAGGCTCCAAAGGTCTGATATGCCTTCCGTACTAGAGTTGAGCAGGCTGCACCAACTAGTTATGTTTCCTGTTGATCAATAGCTCCTGTCCGTCCATCTGTCTGTCTCTCTATGGTCTGACTTATTTTTCATGCAGCCCACTCTCTGTAGGTGGGAGTCCTTGATGCTTGCTCGCATCACGTTCCTATATGTGGAACAATGTGAGTGCAGAGTGACGACAGAGAGACGGACAAACATTCTCACAGGCAGGTAAAGGGACTCACTGAGACAACTGTGTCCATAGTGCACCATGAAATCAGCTCCCAGTGCCCGGGCGGTGAAGTCGTCCACACAGCAGGCCCCATATGTCACGTCTCCCATCACAATGGTATCTGCCTCCGTGAACCTGTATGCACACAGAGGCACTAATCAGTACAGTCACAGACCATATCCACTTCCTGTTTGTTACCACAGCGATCGATACACATAGCAAGCCAGGCACGGTGTGATTATGAGACAGCTGAATAAGATCAATCCCTATTCAGCTGCTACAGACGGAGGAGACGATATACTATCTGAGCGCTTTGTCAGTCAATGTCTGACTCACAGCGTATCTGGGTGACACACTGTTTTTCTTTTGCTCTTCATGACCGGCAGCCAACGGCCCGAGTGCGGCAGAAGCTGTCTGGTTAAAGCACTGCCAGACAAGGGTTAATAGGTCACCAGTCAGCCTGACCACAGAGAGGAGGCGCGCACAGGAGAAGGAGAAGTAGGAGAGGAGGGCTACGACTGGTACACATAAACAGATTAGAGTTTGAAAGGACCTTGGCCAGTCTGTCTCTGGCCTGGATTTATAGCACATCTGCCTGGAAACAGGAGAAACAGCCTAAGCAACAGTTAGTATTTGCAGGATGAGAATAAACTATTCAGAATAGATGCTTTATGCCACAAGTAGGTTGTCAGAGCACAGCACAGACCATGTGGACCTCATGTTCCACTTTGTGGCTGTTGTAGAAAAAAAAAAAAGGAATTCATGGCCTTTTTGAGAGCAACGCTACCAAATTATACAGGCATCTGTGGACCCAGATCTGTTGGAATGAATTGCTGATCGAACTATAGAAAAACAAGCTCTTTCTTTTATCACCCTTTATGGGCAGATAAAATGCTAAGTAAACCCATAAAGACTAAATAAAATGCATAAAGACTGAGAGGGAATGCAAGTGAACAGAAGCTTGAGGTATTGTGGGGGAAGAAAGATGGGTAGATGAGGGGGTGGCTGTAAATGGTGGAAGTTGTCAGGTATTTGTGGCTGTATTCTGACAGATGTAGGCTAGGCAGAAGGGGGGGGGGGTAGAGATGCGATGGAGGGCTCGGAGAAGAGGGAAGTGATAAACAGACATGGCTGCACACAGAACAACATCTGTAGCAACCAACAGATTCTTAGTAATGTGTCTCCTGCTGCTCAGTCTTTCAACCCACATCCACTCTCTCTGTTTATTCCGGACTCTGCTGCTCACAAGGGGCTTCAGACAAAGTTTCTATTTAGCCTTTCCTCCCTGTTTTCTCTGATGTAATCTCTGGTTTGCACTCTCTCCGGGTTCCTCATCATCGTCCCCTAGATTTCTATGTTGTCTCTCTCCCTCTCTCCCCATTTCCCTGTCCCTTCTCCTCTAATGGCTGCTCTCAAGTGAAGGGCAGTGCAGGCCAGCTGAGCCCAGGAAAAACAGAGACGGCAACTCATCTGGTAAATAAATATTTGCCATAGAAGATTTGAATCAATTACCATCTCTCTTCTCAAGGTTTTGATTTTGCCCGTGCATGTCTGTTTGTACTGCATACACATGCACATGGAGGAAGGTAATTATAGGTTGTTAAAAATGATATAATCATTGCGCTCTTGTGCACTAGTTTTCTCATTCACTGCAGCCCATTTTTCTTTCATTGCAGTCCGCTGACTTTGTTTGGAGTTGCATAAACGTGCATCAACCTTTCAGCTAAAAATACACAGCCAGCCCACCAAAAACATGAGAGAGGCTATTCTATTCCCTCCAATCCACTGCAGACCAAGCAGAACCATCTACAATGCAAAACACTACACTACAGAAGATTATTGTATCTAATCAGCCATCTATCTGCCAGAAACACCATTATCACGCTATCTCCATTGGCAGGGCAAGGCATATCTAGTTATTTTCCAGAGTGAGTACACTGAAATTTCATGGTAATAAATGCTAAGAATCTGATTAAGAGGCCCATATGAGACATGTGATGCTACTGGGACATTGGCAGAGTAATTACTGGGCAATGTATAGTCCCATATCTCACTGGGAGTGAGGAAAAGTGGGAAGAAAGAAGACACGATTAAATAACGGTAGAGGGAGAACGACAGACTTTAATGTGTATCAGTGTTAATCAAATCCTTTTTCTAACGCACACACTATGTCACGCGGGACATTGTATATGACTGCAGGGCACATATAAAGCACAAATGCCCTCGGACCCTCCTAATTTCCATTCATGCCTCTCTTCATCTACTCAACTATCTGTCCTTCCCTCCATTCCTGACTGTACTCCAGTGTCAGTCGCTTTCCCCCGCTGTATATTAGCACTGGTTTTGCCTCATCTCAGGATACTCAGTTCAGCCATTCCAACTGAAATGTCATTAAGATCTAATTAAGATGTCAGAGAAGCTTGTGAACTCTATAACAGCCCTTGTTAATTAGCTCTTTAGCTTACAGCTCAATATGTGTGAGAAATTGCCAACTGATTTGAATCTTTGTTATAAAAACCACTGCGCTTGTGTGTGGTGCAAATGCGAGTCTGGGGCGAAACTGCCATATACATATGCACGCACACATACGCACGCACACGACTGTGGATTTCGTGCGAGCTGATTGTATTACTGTTTATCAACAGGTTAAGTATCTGATACGTTGTATATAAATAGCATCTCACTCAGCTCCATTATTGTCCTAATGTGGCAGAGTAGGCATGAAAGCAGATTAATCTTTCTGCTCCTGTCCTCTAGAGATGATATCCGCTTCTGATTTTGACAGGAATTTCCTCTGATGCCGCCATAAAAGAGGGACTTGTTGCCACCAGCGCCTCACAGCTCGGAGATGTTGCAGCAGACAAAGAGAATGAAAAACTTCCGTCTCCCTACCATCCCATTAGCACATACAAAGCCACTCTGTCACAGATAACACTTATCTGCTGATGAAAATGACTAGGGTGAATTTAACTAACAGGCTTCCACCAACTGTTTGAATAACTGTTGATTTAAGGTTTGTGCAGTTTTGAGATGTGAGAACTTGCAGGTGTTTTCATTCCAACATTCATCTTCACTCTTGGACCCATTAGCTTGAGAAAGGATTACAGTTAAAAAAAAAAAAAAAAAAGGCTCTAAAAGGGAAGTTTTTCTATTCAAAAACTGCATGAAAAACTACAGTGTGCTGTACTTAATTCAATTCAATCCAATTAAAGAAACTTTATTTGTCCCCCGTTTATTTGTTAGTTTTATTTGCAAGTTTTGCTATTGCTACATACAGTATCAAAGGTTAGCATTAACAGCTGTTTACTTACCAGACTGGATGCTACCATGACTCAGTTTTGAAAAGCGATCTAGCCCTGAGCCTGGGCTAGCTGGCTAGCATGCTAACTACAGTAGAAGAAATGATAGAAACAGAAGTAAAAGAAGAGGGTTGCTTTCTACCACTGGAGACAGCTCTTGATGCATAAAGGAATGACGTTTGATGCTGAACTTGCAACATTTCTAATAGACTTGTAGTAAACAGCTGTTAATGCTAACATTGGCTATGTAGCAATAGCAAAACTTACAAACAGCTCCTTTAAACTTTCAATATTATATTATTATATTATATTTTATATTTTATTATATTACTGCTGGCTGAGCAGTAAGGCTCCATTTTTGATCCATTTTACTGTATTTACACAGTTTTTTTCTGGCAGTTTTTTTTCATGCAAATTTCCATGTGTTTGAAGGAGTGGGGTTGTGTGTGTGTGTGTGTGTGTGTATGGTGCTATGGGTACATTTCTACTAAAAGCAGATGTCTTTGTACTTTATTCAGGGAAAGTGAACTCACCAGACTTCATGCAACAGTGCTTCACATTCATATATTTCAAACATTCATACCTGGAAGGTGTCAAATGTAGCATCAGTGCTCAATTTCAAATATGGTGTTTCAGATATTCCCAAAGTCACGCAGACAGATCCGTCAGTTTCAAGTTTTACTCTGATGCAGGGCAACTAAGTATGTACACAAATCAATGATGACATTCACATTCATGAGCCAGATACCTTTAAACTAGTAATGATGTTGAAGTTTGTATTAAAAACACTATATTTGATACTTTGAAACATATTTTTTTTTTAAAGCAGTGGCTATGCAGTACATTGCATGTCATATTTTTGTCATTGTGTATGTTAATATACAGAATATGAATAATTGCTAGCCATGTTTTTTTCACTCTAAACCATCAACATTAGCTGTATAGATAACTAAATGTGGCTTTCCATGTTGCTCAAGGGCAAGATGAGGAATGAAGAGAAAAGGTTACCACTTAACTTCCTGACCCCCATTTTTTCCTTCTGCTGATATAAAGGAAGCAGTGCTTGAGAATAAAAAAAAGTCATATGACTCTTATAATGCTTCACTGTTCTGATGATCAGAGTGCAATCAAGCCCATTTCAAAAATAGATACTAGAGACCATCTTGCAATGGGACCAGCCAAGTCAACATGTTGACCATCTGACCCATGAATACTCAGAAGTATTTACTACATTATTATTTGAGTGCTCAGTATTCATGGGTTTGAACTCGGCCCTCAAATGGGTGTGTCGTTGATTTCGACCTGTAAAGTTTTGTGCTCTATCTTACATGGATGTGACGCCATCATGCTGACAATATTTTTCCACAGGCAGACAGACATATAAAAACCTGCCAAGGTACTGAAATCCATCTCTGTGGTAGTTGCCATGATGACACACACACACACACACACACACACACACACACACACACACACACACACACACACAGTCGTGTTTGGTAACAAGCTCTCATAAACTGCATTAGTGCTGCTTGTCATGCAGTTATGCATTTGCTTGGCAAGTGTGTGGACGGTCAACAAGCCCGTCAGACCAAAAACCCAAAAAGGAAAAAAACTGGCAACAGCTGAACTTTTCAGTCGTATGCCATCACGAGGTGGGCTAATCCAATTTGCAAATTTGCATGCTTCATTATTTCCCTACTGATGTGATTTAATTTGTTCAGCGGTAACTTTGCTAGTCAAGTGAAAAATGGGTACGGAAATAATTAGAGCTTTTCCAACCTTTCCATGTTTTAAGGTTTGGCATCCTTTGGGGTCAGTGGTTAACATCATAGT